AGCACGGGGGCGCCATATCCTACCCTAGCGATATCAGATGGGGAAATTACTTCGTATTACCTCCAAGGGGGCGCCAGGGGGGGGGGGGGGGGCGGCTGTCCCCTCGGCCCCCCGTAAAATACGCCACTGCTCCCAACGTATTTTGGCGCCCTATGCAAAAAGCATAGGGCGCCAAAATAGCTAGTATTTACCGCTTTTGGACGAATGGAATAAGGAATGGCTCATGAGGTTTAACAAAAGCATGTGCACGGTTCTTCATATCGGCCGTAACAATGGCAGATCTCTGAATGAGTTCGACGTTGACAAGCTTGAGGAGACGAACGGAGAGCAAGACTTAGGGATTAATATAGAAGAGCTCAAGTTCTCGCACGTACAAATGACGGTAGCTAAAAGTACTGTAACAGGATTCTAGGCCTCGTCAGGCGTTCTATAGCCAGCAAACGTTCGAGCATTTTTCTTGCGTTATATGCGGAGCTGGTAAGATCCCACTTGGAGTATTGCGTTCAGTTTTGGAGGCCAGCAAATAAAAGTGAACTAACGGTGCTCGAGGGGATCCAGAGGTGAGCTACTAGAATGATAAATGAGGTTAGGGGACAAACATATGAGAAGTGTATGGATTATACTCACTCGAGAGGAGGTAAGGGGAACCTCATCCAGGCATTTAAGATCATTAAGGAAATCGATAATGCGATATTCGATCATTCGTGGAAGGTTTTCCAGTTCCATGTTAACAGCAGAACGAATGGGAACCGACTTAAGCTGCGTGAACCCCAGGTGAGGCGCAGGTTGCGACAGAACTCTTTTACTCGTAGGGGAGTGAACGCGTGGAATGCGTTGAGAGACGATATAGTGGCTACCCCGCCCCGTGACCAGCTTTAAGAAATGGCTTCATGCCTTCATGGACAAAACAAAAGAGGGAGCATTGTAGCTTTAAGCGACTACGCTCCCAAAAAAAAAATTATCTTGAAGAGGGGTAAGCCTATCTTACGATCGGTGGAACGCTTCAGCTCGACCCGGGACGTCATTATAGGCGGACATGCCTACGGACATGACGTCCCTACTAAATCTTGAAAGGTCTATTGTTCATATATTGGGTGGAGCAAAAAAAATACTGCTTATGGATATTCCATAAATAGAGAACAGCACCAGATCAGATCAACTTTGAGTGTAGATAAAGTAAAAGGAGACGGCGAGAATTTTTTTTATCTATTAACTTGACCTTGAAGGAGACAAGAATCATCAAATAATTTCTAGGAAAGTGTCCCTCTCTACTCTGGTGAAATAACTTCACAAGCATCACATGCACAGTGAATGGTTTCTGCAGCTATTCCCCTTTCCAGTTCCCTTCAAACCTGGCCAAATTTTTAATCTCTAGTATCTAAATTCTATGTAGTAATGCATGGTCACCACTTGAGGGGAAATTGCTGGGCAGCAATATTTTTTTTGCTTCCTTATACATGAATTCATATATGATGGATGGATACCTGGTACCAGTGAAAGTATAATGAGCCCATGCCATCAAGTCACATTTGATGGAAGGTCATATTTATCCTAAGAAAGTTTTTTCACATCTTGCTGCGACATACCTGCAGGTGATCCCCTTCTCATTTTATAAGTCCTCCTGTTACTCTATGATTTATGGATTTGGCTAAGTTTGCTATATTCAAAATATAGTTAACTTTATTTTTTATTATTTCTAGTTCAAATTTTATGGTAATATTTGACCAATTTTAGGTCATATAAATCAGTCATATAGTCATGACTAAACCATGCCTCAAATTACTGCTCACCCAGCCCACTCACCTTCATCAAAGTATAGAACACCTTCAAATCATTTAGTCAAAATAAAGAACAAGTAATGATGAAATTAAGAACACTGCTGACTGACTTCAAGAAACGCCCTACCAAATTTAGATGCATTCCATATTGCCCATATGGTATTTGTATCCGATTTAATATGGAAGGTAGCAAGCTGTGCCCTACTGAGTCCCATAGCACACAACAATGGTGCAAATTACAGCACAAAATTGTAGCAGTCAGTAGAGAAGGGTATAAGCTTTGCATAACAGACTACCACATTGAGCTTATGGCAATCTATGCTAGTGCATCAGATAATTTCTCTATCCTGTACTCTCAAACAATAAAAGGTGTACCAGGCAAGACACGAAAATGCCAAACACTTTGGCACTTATGCCCTCACGATGGAGCAAAGTGTGCAGAGTTTTCTTTTATTTCCTTGAAATGAGCTCTTGGATTTACACTCACTTCCACAGCTTCAATACCCATTGGGTCATTTTGCAAGGATGTATCTGCACCTATAAGGATAAATATATCATAAGTCGTAACATAGGAAAAACATTCAGGGGTTTGCCAGTCTGCCATGCAACTCATGGAGGAGTGAAATAATGTTAATTTACAGGCTTTCCTTTATTCAAATCTGACATAAAGTCCAGTTCCCACACTCCCTGCTCGGGAAGCATCACTGTGAGCTTTGGCAATAATGGAAATCCCTCAAGAAAACATGGATTTTAAAGATTCGGAACAATCATAACAAAAAGGCCATAAAGTGCTTTCATATCACTGTTATCTATAACTATATAACATGCATATTTTTTGCGCAGGCACATGACTTGAAGCAGATCTTTGGACTAGTTGCAATAGATTACATTGGCACATAGAAAGAAAAACTGTGAGAAAGAAATCTGAATTGGCACAAATATGTGGAATGCAGATCAGCAGGGTTGGTAGTATCGGAATCCATTGACCTGCAGGGGGAGAACACAAATTTTAAACATTGTACATAATCCAGTTAACAGGAGACTTAGAAAAAAGAATTTCATACGGTCATATCGTATTCAGTGATAAAAGCAGGGATGTCAAGCTGATCAGGGTCCATGATGGAGTAGAGGTACTCCACCCCAGAGACATTGTGTACCTTCCCTTTGATCCCAGGTGCCATCCATGTGAGGAACCACCATGTCATCACCTGCACAAACACAAGCCATGAAGCACTCCTATATGACTCCCAAATTTTTCTTATCAGGTTCATTGCACACTCATTCAACATCAGGCATGATCTTTCTTTGATCTTTCTTTCAATTTTGATACTAACATGTTAGCTGAATGATATAAACCTAGGCCTATGAATGTATCATTTTGGTGGCAAGTTATGATTGAAAAATGGCTTTCCATTGATGATTTTGATACTGTTGATGGCATAGGATGGCACACCAAGCAGGAAGGGGAGGGTGTTTTCAGGGGGTAAGAACCCCCAAATACTTACTCAAGAAGGCATCACTCTATTCCTCTGCCCCCCTCTCCTGTGGGGATGTGAGGATGCAAATACGAGGGTGGTTCTATACTTACCCGCATTTCCTATTCTAGAAAATCAACAGGATAGAAAGAGTCTGAAAACCTAATATGATAGATAGCTCCAATCTTCTAAGTGATCTAAGACAGGACCAGCAACCCTTGTGCACGTGCAATTGTGAAGAATATGGCATCTGATCCTCTTCTGATCTGATATGGTGTATACTCTGGGGATAAACAGCATTGTATAACATTTCACATGAAAGAGAATGTGAAGGCAGCTGATACTTTTCATAGATTGCAAGCACAGTTTAGGGAAGACTGTCTAGAACGGAGAAGTGTATTTTACTGTCCAAGAAATTTCAAGATGGCTAAGAATCCTTGAAAATCCCTTGAATGTGGATTTGCTGAAATGTGAATTCATCACTTTATGCTGGTATGAAAATGCTCAAGTATGCAATGGCGACATTCTGCATCATCTTGGTTGAATAAATTCAGGGCAAAGTCAAAGTGGTGAAGTGGCTATGCACTCAACCACAAGCATTCTAATTCCTCTGGCATTCAAGCATTGCCAAAGCGATGTGACAAGTACATCTGTGTAGGAGGGGAATGCTTTGAGAAAGAGTTTGATAGAGATCAGATGTACCATAGATTTTCTGGAATGAAAAGAGCAGTTAAGTATTGAACCACTCTCATATATACAGGGTAGGCCAAAAGAAATCAAGCTATCATATTCAGTGAGTTGTCAACTGATTATAGGCTGCTGATTCTAATGAAATTTAGTGGGCCAAAAGGGGGACTTGATTATGGTTAGTGTGTTGAGTTTCATATCAAAATTCTGAAAAGTATAAAAATGGTTTTTAACTTACTTTTGATTGGCAAAAAAGGAGGTGTTTATTTTTTTCTTTCAAATGTAAAATTCCTCACAACTGAAGAAAAAAACAAGCAAAAGAATGGAATGAAAACAAAATGCACAAATGCCAAAAACGAAAGAGTGCACTTTGGTTCATGAAGTTTCATTTCAACAGAAAATGTGCTCAATTTCATTTCGTTGAACACAAGCCTCTGGTCTGATATGCCAAATTCAATGGCTCAGTTGATAAATCTTTGAGGCAGTGTCTCCTAAACTTCCTCTGTAGCATCATGCAGGGATGGAAGGTCTTGAATTCTGTCCTCCTGTTTACCCCAACCTCAAGTTCATAATGATATGTTCGACAGCATATTTTGGAGTGGGTTATGAGAAAGTAATTAGAGATTATATAGTTTTACAGCCAGAAAGCTGAAATTCAGCATACTAACACCAATTGTGTCATCCTAAATGCTTATCAAATTTCATCAATTTGACAGCCTACAAATAAATAAGACAACTCACCAAAAATGACAGCTTTGTTTTTTTTTGGGGCCACCCTGTATTATCATGTGGAAATAGCCAAAGAGCAAGGCTAGAAAGAGATAAACAATTCAGGATGGTTGAAGATGAAGGTCACACTAGTTACACATGGCTACTTGCTTGAGTCAAGTGGAAATTTCATATAGGTGTCCTGCACATGTGAAGGAGGATGACTCAGATAAAGGGCCTGAATCATGTAAAGGTTACCAAATTTCCAGTTGCATGTTTGTGCAGTGAAATCTGGGCTGGGTCCCAAAATTAATTTAATTAATTTATTTATTTATTTATCTTTTCCTTAATTTTTAATGTCGAAAAAGCTTCATCATATACTTCTTAAATTTCATTGTCCCCATTTCATAAAATCTTGCTTCATTTCATTAAAAAAAAATTTAAGTGGATTTACTGTTTTCTCACTGATAATTGAATGTCAGGTCCTAAGAATTTTCCCAAAATCCCACCATAAAATAATGAGCACCTTTAGTTGATGAGACACAATGACCAAAATGACATATTGCTGATTAGATCAACACAACCATTTACTCCACCCTGTTGCTATAAGAGTTTGCTTTCAAACATAAAATATATGCTGTTGGATGATATATTAATACAATTTATACAGAGAATTAAAGGTGCGTGTGAGCACTGTTTCATGCTTGAATCACGTGTGGCTCACAACTTTATCCATGAGTCGTTACTTGCATTGAGGTTCTGTGAAGGCACTGGTCATGATCATAACTTGAACAGAACTTACTCATTATATATATATTTTTCTTTTTGCAAGTCTGCCTCTTTCAAAGAGGCAGATTGGCATAAAAGGAAATCACAGATTTGTGGGAAAATGAGAGACAATATGGTTTTTTCTCTTGTGATTGTGAGTTGAGAACCTGAGAGAGGAGGCAGCATGGCATGGCTAATAGCCACAAGAGAAGCATGTAATCTATGCACAACAAAATGACACATCAACCTTAAGGTACCCATGCTACATAGTAAAGATGGAAGGTCACTGACTTTTGTCCAAAAACTTGGATGAACAATGTGGAAGCCTTTCAAATTCTTCTTGTACCTGTCAAAAACAATTATCCAAAATATAAAAAAATGAAAATGAAGTCACTTTATATTATGTTTAAGGATGAAGAGAAGAGAACAACTAACTTGTAGGGGAGGATGTTGTAAACAGTTCGGATCCAATGAAGAGCAGGGCGATTGTGTTTTCCTGTGAGTGTGTGAAAGTACAGAACAACATAATCCCCTGACACTATCCCATCCAGGAGACACACCAGGTACAGCAGTGCCTAAAGAAACAAATGCAAATTACATGTCATACATCTTTCAGAGAGGACATAAGTAAAAATACCAATGTCTTCCAGCATTTCTAATGCAAACCTCAACTTTACCTAATTAGAGTATGAGAGTCAATCTGAAAGTTCATAGCTGCTGCTGCACTATAGAAGATTGCAGCTGGGAATTTTAACTGCTTCTCAAAATAAGCAACCCTAGTATTCCTAGAACATTTATATTCCAAGAAATGCAGACTCAAAGTAGTTGCATTGATTAAATTTCAACAATGTCAACCAAAGTGTCCTGGTTTGCAACCACAGAATCTTTGGAGCTCTCCAATTGACAACCATTGAGTTTTTCTTTGCACTTGGGAAACAAGAAGTCACAAGGGCTCAAATAAGGTCAATAAGAAGGATATGACCATGTTTGGACACATTGACTGGTCAGGAAGTCCAAAGATTTTTTCGCTGTGTGTGCCAGAGCATTGTTGTGGTGCAACAAGCCCCAAAGCCCCAGCTTTGGGCATTGATAGACAGCTTCAAAGAGAGCAGGAAAATGCGCAATTGTGTACTACACAATATTTATGGTGAGATGTTCTTGAAGGGTTGTGGTAGCAATACAACCAGTATTTGAGAAGAAAGTAGCTACCACTGACTTCCGAACACCAAGGGGCTTATGGACTTTGGTGGGTGGTTGCTCACTCAGAAAGACCAAAATTGTGCTCTGGCATTTATTTTCTGCATCAAATCCAAGTTTCATCTCCAGTGACAAGATCAAACACAATTTTTGAATGTCCCTAGTTGAATTTTTTTAGCATGTCATGACACTGTTTCACCCAAATCTCTTTGTGGAAGTATGAGAGGGGATGGGGTACCCAACAGGAAAACAACCTAGTAAAGCACCTAATGCCCATGCAGGATGTCAAACAGCAAAGGAACAAATGCTCATATGATTTCCTATTTGAGCATAAATAAGTTTGGGGTCTTCAGAAACGACTTTCTGGTGACTGCAGTTGGTAGTCAACCTGGTCAGGGTTATCTTCAATGGAGACTCGCCCCATTTGAATTTATAGAAAAACTCAGGAACTCTTGAAATGTTGAGAGCTTTGCCACTCCATGCCTCCACCAGGCAATCTTGAGATTGGTTGATATCCAGTCCTACTCAGAAGTCATAAAGGATCATTCATCTGAAACCTTCATAAATAGGCTCCATCTTCCAATTTTAATGACATTAGAGCTGTTTACAGGAAAACTCAACTACTTGAGGTATAGTCATAAAAAGCAGCCACTGACCGACATGGGCTGTGATAGGTGATACAACTATCAAGATTCTAAGCCAATACATTTCAGAGTAGCTATGGACTTTTAGAGTGACCCTCCTATAGTTAGCTTCCAGAAAATTCCCCCAACATACTCCTGAGGGGATTATGAGTCAAGACAATAATAAAGGGTGCAGATTGAGCTGGTGAAGCCAATTATTGCCAAAAAGTAAATGATTTGCAAAACTCTGCAAAGATGTTACCTTGAAAAAGGGAATTACATGGATTAGATCCTAAGGTCTTGTTATCTTTTGAAAATCCTCTGGCATATCTCCATTCAAATAATTGCACAGATTCACACTTTCTCCTCAGATCATAGTTTGACAGTATTGTGAGAAATCAGGGAAGACTTCATCTTTGGTATCATGAAGTTGGGTCGCATTACTCATTTCATGGGTGCTTTTTAACTTATTCAAAGGAAACTCTATTACTCTTAGATAACCTATGGAGAGAGGCACATATGTAACAGAATGTGTGCTGGATCATTTGCTTACATTAGCCACTTCACTGTTAAAAAAAAAAACCTTAACAACTGTGGTATTTCCCTTAAGAAACGAACTGATAGAGTGATGTGATGGCAACATAACCTAGCAAAGTAGTCAATGTGAAAAAAAAAACAGTAAAATGAGCTCTTTCTCAATGCTGCATCCTAGGAGTGGATGGGTCATACTCCATCAGAGACAAGGATGAGACAAGGTGGCACTCAAAGAAAACACATCATCATCCAGGAAGTAACTTCTACAATTAGACTTTGCTCCTCACATGCAGTCTTTCATTTTCACTTTTTAACCTTTCCTGCAGCATTACTACATGGGGTTACCTTAACCTGTCTGAATTTCCCATTGCGAGAAATTCAGGCTGGTGGAGGAGGTTGATGTCTTAGATTTTTATTAAAATTGGCAAGTTCCTTTTGGGAAGCATTTAAATACCTGTGAATATTTCAGACTTTACAACCCTTTACAACCCTGGGGAATGAGCAATGGCCTAAGTCTATTGTGGAGTCACAGAAGTCAATATTTACTCTGAATCTGATACATAAGTATAACTGGACAAAACCTGGCATGAGAAATCTCAGAACTCCAAAGATGATTGAAGAAAAGTTTTGGCCAGTTATGGTTCTCTAGTAGTCACCAGGTCAATCAAAGTCGCATCAAACTTGCAAACTGTGCAAACTTTGCATGAATATGGTAATATGCAGATATATTAAATGCATTCAAAAAGTAGTTATCTGTGTGGCAAAACATATTTTCAGAAGCAGCATCATAAGCTGGGTACCTTAGATGTTTCTTCTACACCTGCACAAGCATCCAGCATTGCATTTAATGTCATGAATTTATTATACTTTCTATGTACAGTTGATTGAATCAACTGATCGGATATGGCTAATTTTTCCAAAATGGAATCCTGCATCCACCTGGGAACTGTCCTTGGTGGAAGGGTAGTCCCTTCACAGAATTAAACAATGTGATTTAGAATGCTGGAAGCATTACTGTTTTTATGGATAAAAATATTTAGTGGCAGCTCTTTTCTTTCTCTGAAAAATGTGTCATATTAATAAGCTGATTGAATCAATTCATCCATTCATCCATTGAAGGGTATGGTGTAAATATAGCAAACGTGTATTCTCAAGAGTGATGAGCCAGCCCATAATATGAGGGCTATCCCAAATATAAGGTAACAGATGATGCTGTGAAAAGACATTGTTGAGCATGGACTTGAAAATTGGCGGGAATGAAGGGAGTCATGCATTCTACTGTCGGTAAAAACGCGATTGGTACCACTGTCTATATGTGCTCGTGTGGAGCAGTCAAACATGGCGACACGTTTGGAGACGTGGTCAAACATCGAGATGCGTGCTGTTAAAAGATTTCTCAATGCTGAAGGAATTCCACCTGCTGAAATTCATCGTCAACTGCAAGAGGTGTATGAGCCGAACGTCACGCCCAAGAAGCAAGTCTGTCTCTGGTGTAAGGAGTTCGAAGGAGGTCGAGACAAACTCGCTGATGAACGCCTGGTCGACCCGCCACATCGCACCCGGCGTGTGTCATGCACAATGGAAATGTCACTTGGAAATGTCGTATCAGCAACGCATCGAATTTTCACGCGCCTGTTTTCGCGAATGAGTCGCTCAATGGCTGCGATCTTGTCGGCCGTATGTGCTTAGGCGGGTCGACCAGGCCGAGAGTTTGTCTCGGCCTCCTGCGAACTCCTTACACAGAAACAGACTTGCTTGGACGTGACGTTCGGCCCATACACCTCTTGCGGTTGAGGATGAATTTCAGCAGGAGGAATTCCTTTAGCATTGAGAAATCTGGTAACAGCACACATCTCGATGTTTGACCACGTCTCCAAGCGCGTCGCCATGTTTGACTGCTCCAAACAAGCGCATATAGACAGTGGTACCAATCGCGTTTTTACCGACAGTAGAATGCATGGCTCCCTTCATTCCCGCCAATTTAAGTCCATGCTCAACGAAGTCTTTTCACAGCATCATCTGTTACCTTATTTTTCGGACAGCCCTCGTAGGAGACACCCTGCACCTCCACTCTTCATATGAAATTATGACCATGTTTGAGTGGGAAAAATGATAAAATGAACATGCTGAAATCCCACATTACTCATCAAGCTTGTTAACACCAGTGGACAGGTAACATGTGACTGAAGCTGTAGACCAGTTCACAACACCTTTGGTGCAATTTAACCTGGAATGAAACCTTCCCATTTAGTTTTTTCTGAAAGGCTCTCACATGCCTAGTATTTTGGAGGCATTGATGACAAAAGCTTCCATGTCTAGCCTTCTTTTGTCAATCAAGCAACTTTCATCTGTAAGAAGCCATGTATGGATACAGAATAAATCAGAAGGAGCAATACGAAGCTGAAAAACAATATTGCAATAAATAGCACAACCCTATCAAAATCTTGGACATCAACTTCCTCAAAGTGCCCATTTCTACATAATTTTCTTGCATCCAGGTATTTAGGGTTTTTCAGTTAACTGTTACTTCCCCATATCCTGTATCTGATCAACAGGGTGTCCAAAACGTCCAAAATACTTTTTAAAATTTTTTATAGTTGTGAGAAATATTTGCTGCAACATTTCCTGTGAGGTGAATCTGGAGGTACAGTAACCCAAGCTCTACACTCCCCAGACTTGACACATTTAGAGTTTAACCTCAGGGGAGACAACAAAGTATGTGTATGTAACTAGGTTCCAGACTTGGAAGGATTCTTCTGCTAGTATGATCTAACCTTGTCCAAGTTGATGCATCGGACATCGAACCACTTGCCAATGAAAATTACCACAGGGCGTCCACACCGGTCCATCCCACTCTGGTACAAGCACCCTGTGTTAGATATTTCTGTCAGGTCTTCCTTCTTCCCCTTCCTCAACAGTCTTTCGTACCTGAAGCAGGAAACAGCATACAATTAAAAATTCACACAATGAAATGAGATCCTTCTCAACTTATTCTTCTGGGGCAAGAGGGGATTGCTTTCCATTGTATTCCTGGAGAAAAGTATGCAAAACCAAGCCTGCCATTTTAGACCATGGGAGCCTCTTGCACCTACCAGCTTTCATTCTCATTGCAACCTTTCAGTTCCACCCATAACAGATGCACTAATTGCTTTACATAAGGAAAAATATAACAGTGTCCAAAGGGTTATACCAATTGGGTTAGATCCTATAGGTGTAACAAATCAGATAAGAGTCAAAATTTGCATATGGCAAGCACCACGATGAATAGCTTTCATGCAAAGTATGTTTTCTTGGAGTTATAAATCCATGGGATATAATATATTGCTTCTAGCACTCAAAGCTTGAATGGGGAAACTAAGAATTAACATTTTCAAAGGAAGCTCTTCTTTGCACCCATTTGCTAGGTTATATCGATGCTAAATTTCATCACTCAACCTTATTTGGTGCAAGGCACTCTATAGAATGGTAAACTATACTGAAACCAAATTTTTTTGTTACTGATTTCAGCATTCAATGAAGACTTTTAAACAAGATGCCATTTGCTTGGGTTGATAGTAGAAGTATGCCATGTTGCATTGCTTAATTCTTCAGTTTCTGAAACTTTTATAAGTATCCATCCAAATGGGTGAAACTACAGTACGGTTTACTGAATAATTACTCTTTTCCCAATAATTGCCACTTAGGTAAGTAACTGTAACGTATGCCAGCCTATGACCGCTAACGTCCAGCGTATCAGTAGAGTCAAGGCGGGGAGGAAGCTGAAGGAGGTGAACTAAAACATCCATCAACACGTGGAGGGAGGTGAACCCAGTGTTTGGGGTCAACCAACACGTGGAA